GACCCGTTAATAGACGACGTAAATGCATGGCTTAATATTATCGAATCTTACTCTCAAACGTTTGCCTGGTCGGATGAAGTGATTCGCTATCAAGCTTTGAACAAATTGAAAGGTTCCGCTAAAACATGGTACGACTCCTTATTACATACTGAATATCAGTGGCCATCTTGGAAATGGAAAGATTGGCGAATAAAGCTATCGGCTTGTTTTCAAAGTAGGAGAAATATTTTTGATCTTCTAAAAGAAATACTCGATAAAAAAACCCATAGAAAATCAATCTTTATACGATTTTTACTTTGATCAAAAATGTAAAATCGATCGTTTGTCACTAAACTTTACACAACAAGATATTATATCTATTATTTTAGGGAACATAGGAGAGGCAAATTTATTAGCATCAATAGACGCTAATCAGTTTACAACATGGGATAATCTAGCAAGTTTTTTGCATGGTCGAATATACAAATCCAAATTTCCTAAATCTTCAAATGTTCCTTGTCAAATGTACCACGACAAACCGTCGCACAACCAACTACTTCCTCCACAAATGGAGGTAGTATAACCATAATAGATCAAACTGTTCCATCTGGTTCACTAGCGACCATGCAGAACATACAACGTAAATCGTTAAAATGCTTCATTTGTGGTGGGAATCATAAACGAAATCAATGTGATAAAAATAAATGCGACTTCTGTGGGAAAAGGGGACATTTAGAAGCTGTATGCTTTCACAAAAAACTGACGAAAACCGAAACGCACGAAACTAAATTTATTTCTACCCCCAGCCCTCGTAACAAATTCGTTAAAAATATAATACTAAATCACGTGAAGTGTGAAGCTTTTATAGATACTGGAAGTAGTTGTTCGTTAGTGTCAGAGTCATTCGCAAAGAATAATTGCTTTGAAATTAGTCCTTTATCCTCTCCGATTTTATTGCAAGGATTCTCTAAACAATCCTCAAAATTTGTGAGTCATAAGATAATCGTTGATTTAGAAATGGACTCTATAGCTTTAACGCAAATTGACATTTATGTGCTTGATGATTTGATGGATTATGATATTTTGATAGGTAGGAATGTAACTGAGCGATCAGATTTGATGTACATACGTGTAGGAAATACCTTTAGGTTTCATTATGCAATAGGGTACAGCGAATCCTGTAAAAGTATTAATGAACTAGATTTAGACACCGACTCTCATCATAACGAGTTAAAATGTATTTTCAGTATATATAGAGATTGTGTAGCACTCAATACTAAAGAGTTAGGGAAAGTTAATCATCACGAAATGGAAATTAACGTTAACAATATACAACCGATTCAGTGCAGACCTTTTAGGACTTCTAATAACGATAGAAAAATAATACGTGATATAGTAAATGAACTTTTAGAAAATAACATCATACGCGAAAGTAGATCGTCTTATGCGAGCCCCGCACTTCTTGTAACAAAAAAAATGGAGAAAAAAGACTTTGTATAGACTATCGGTTATTAAACAAAATAACTATTAAGGATAAGTACCCTATGCCACGTATTGATGACCTTATTGATAGACTTTCTGGTCACAAATGTTTTTCAAGTCTTGATTTAAAGAGTGGTTATAATATTAATGAACGAGAATTCAATATCCAAAACTGCATTCATCACGGAAGATGGCCATTATGAGTTTCTCAGACTCCCCTTTGGTTTAGTTAATGCACCATCTTGTTTTCAATATATGATGAATAAAGTTTTAGGTAATTTAAGGTTTAACAATGTAATAGTTTATTTAGATGATATTTATCTTGTAACAAATACGGTGGAAGAAAATTTGAAGTTATTAGAACAGATATTGCAAATTTTTAGGATGAATGGTTTGACTCTGAATCTAAAAAAAGTGTCATTTCTTCAAAAGTGAAATAGAGTTCTTAGGTTATCGAGTAAAGTCTGGGAAAATTATGCCAAATGAAGCGAAATTAGAATCAGTTAGGCAGTTTCCAAGACCCAAAACAGTACACCAACTTCGACAGTTCATTGGTCTAATAAGCTATTTTCGGAAATTTATTAAAAATTGCGCAATGATTTTGGTGCCTTTGACAAAACTGTTAAAGAAGGATACTACCTGGGCTTGGGAAGACAAACAAGAAGAGACATTTCAATCGTTAAAAAATAAATTAACATCAGATAATTTCCTGTCTATTTTTGATCCCAATAGAGATAGTGTTTTATACACTGATGCTAGTCGAGAGGGTATTGCAGGAATACTTATGCAAATTACAAATGAGGGAGAAAAACCAGTCCATTATTATAGTAGGCAAACTACCGAAAATGAAAAATTATACCATTCATTTGAATTAGAACTGTTGGCAATTATTTGTTCGCTCCAAAAATTCCGCCTATATCTGTTAGGTTCAAATTTTAAAATCATAACTGACTGCAGTGCTGTACGATATGCGCTCACTAAAAAAGATATTGTCCCACGCATAGCTCGATGGGTATTAGCTACACAAGAATTTTCATTTGAAATTGTCCATAGAGCAGGTACACGTATGCTGCATGTTGATGCATTAAGTCGAAATCCTGTAGTTTCGGGGGAAAAGTCTGAAGTTGAAATCATTATGTCCATTACTGAAGCAGATTGGTTGCTGTTAGTGCAAACACAAGACTCTAAAATTCAACAATTAAAATCAATTTTAGAATCGGGAGAGGCCGACCAAAATAGAGATGTTTTTGACAAATACGAATTGCTTGGGTCAAAAGTTTACAGAAGAACAGCAAAGGGTCGTCGATGGTTGGTACCAAAAAAATGTATTTGGCAAATAATTAAATACAACCATGATGACATTGGACATTTTTCTGTAGACAAAACTGTAGAAAGAATATCAAAGTTTTACTGGTTTCCCCACATGCGTCGTATTATAAAAAAGTACATAAAAAATTGTTTAAATTGTATATACTTCAAAAACAAAGGGGGTGCCAAGGAAGGCGAATTATTTCCAATGCCAAAATATGCTCAACCTTTTCATACACTTCATTTAGACCACTTGGGTCCATTCAAAGTCAAAAAACTTGTGGGAAATGACAGATATGAGGTAACGGATCTTAAAGGAAGTGAAAGATCCTTTAAAAAGTATACTGGCGTGATAGCGGCTGAAAATATGAAGCCGTGGATTAAAATAGACAACTGGAATGAATCTGAATAATTACGTGATTATATTATGTATATAATAGATATTCGTGTTGGCAAGGTAAACACCTTAATATACTGTTTTTGGTATCTTACCTAATTCATAGTTTATTAAAAATAGAACACATAAAAAAAAATTATGTATACAAGTAAAATATTACATCAGGCATAACAATTTGGTTTATAAAGTAATACGAGTATACACGTAAGGTTTGCGAGTCAAGATAAAATGCTTTAACTTATATTTATGTCACACATTAATAATTGTTGTAAACATATTGAAAGGTACATAGGCATAATTGTGAGTGAACTTGGTACGCTCAAGTGGGTATATATCCCTTTGAGTGCAAGTGGCTCTATTGTGCAGGGTGGAAGACTAACTTGGTCTCTTAAGTGCGGCAGAGTCCCTTTAAGTGCAAGTAGTTTTCTAACAGACAAACAAATGTGGAAACAGTTACTTATGTGTGATATTAGTAACAATATGACCGCATTACCTTACACCTTTATTAAGTATATGTTAAACTACTAATAATAACATATAACTTTTAAATATTTCCTGTAACTGACTTGTTATTTTAATAAATAGAAATTAAAAATACTTTAAACCGTCGGTATTCCAAGGTAAATAAATAAGTTACCTAAATATAGTTCATGCGTGTAAACATACTGACTCGTATATAAGTGAGGTAGGACGTGTTGAACCAACTCGGTATGCTTAAGTGAGGTTATTGCCCTTTGAGTGCGACTGGTTGCAAAAACTAAGACTAACTTGGTCCCTTAAGTGTGGTAAATTCCCTTTAAGTGCAAGTGGTCTTCAGTTTAGTCGTCATGGAAACAAAGACGAACTTGGTCTCTTAAGTGAGGAAAAGTCCCTTTAAGTGCGAGTGGTCTTCAGTTTCAAAATATTCTGTTTGCGATCAGTATGTTACATGTTAAGAAGACTGAACATTTACATTATTTCATATTTAATTTCATATTTTCAGTTTCAGTATATTCCATAAAATTGTGGCGTCTGGGGCAAACGCCTTGCAGAATGGCCGTGTTGGCAACTTAATGAAATCAACATTAATTGACCGGAAGTTGACGCCAGTGACGCCACCTTGCGGCGCACAATGACGTTCACGTGCAAGATGGCGACTATATAAGCAAGCAACCGACCTAAGCATGGCAGTCTTAGTTCCGCTCGCGCTGTGACAACTAGTGTAAATTATAAAATAAAGTGTTGTGATTATTGATAGCTATGTGTGATGTATGCAAATTAGTGAATAAATAGTTTGATGATTGAAAGTGAGGTTTTAGTTAACAAACCATAGTATAATTATTATGTTAGTTATGTTCGCGGGCAGAGCGAGGCACGTTTTTAAAACTGGAACCACATTATACGGCCGTTCGCGGTTCGTTCATGAATTTATTACGATATTTAAAACTTATGAACAAAACATACGCGGGCCGCGTGTTGCCCACCGCTGCTCTATATAAACATACTTATTTAGACTAGAATCTTGCGAACAGGAAATATAATAGCCAAAGCAAGAAGCCTGGTGCAGTTTATACAATCGAGTGTTTCGAGTTTGGAATTCATTGTGTTTTAAAAGAAGACTTTCAAAGTCAGCGTATATGATAAAAATTATTTTTTGTCGTCTTTCATAGTTTTTAAAACATAAAATAGTATTTTTCTCAGGTAATGATGTAAATATTTTATTACACATATGTGACCTATATTTTTTTTCACTAACAAAATATTGCAAACATAGCTCGCACAAATACATTTTACCTTTGTGATATGATATTTGTCGTTTAACCAATCGCAAAAGATCTTTTATTAAACAATAATGAGATTTACCATTTTTCTCAATATATAATAAATTCACATATTTTGTTTTCCTTGAAGAGGTTATATATAACGGTCCGGTTACATTATTTTTATTATCTAATCCATAAATATTTACACTGACTTCAGGATTGATCCTTTCAAACAATTTAATATCATTATATGACGGTGGAAAATTCATACCATTAATGTTCAATACTATGGAATAATGAGGGTAGGAATTAATTCTACAAACATTTTTCTTTTGTGGAAATAATCCCGCAATAATACTCCACAAGAAACAAAAATTATCATCACTTTGAATATTTATACAACTTTTTGTGTTTTTTATTTCATTTTGTAAATCAATATACAATATGAACCACCTTTCAATGGACTATATTTGTTTATGTTGATCTCTAAATGACTTATTGAAATGAGAGACCATCCTGATTCACAGTGTTGAAATTCTGATATTTTTCTGTCAATTATATTTATAATGTTTATGATGAATTCATTAATATCTGTACTGTGGTATATTATTTCATATTTTGTATTAAATGATTTAAGTTGATGTTCATTTACCATCGGTCTCATAAAATAAGAAAACAACTCAACGTTCAATTTAATACAATCATGTTTTAGAAGACAGTCATTTATAATATCCAAAATATATTTCTTATTATCCACTAGGAATGCCTCTGGTGTAAGGTACTCTTCCAAGGGATTAAGTCCATATGTAATTATTCTATTTTTAAATGCCGTAGCTATAATATCAATATCTTCAAATTTCGATTTCAACAGACAATTAGACTTATGCAAATTTGTTCTCAAATGGTATCGGTGTTCATTTTAATTTATTTCAATTTGACAGTATTCACATTTTCTTGAATCGGAGCTATGTTGTACTGGAAAAAACAAAAAAAAAAAAACAAAAGATATTACTAATTATATATTTGTTAGGATTAAGCCTATTATTATTATATAAAAGATTAAAGTAAGTTATAGTATATATGTTTTTCACTCGTTACAAACTTATTAACTAAGTAATTTTTGTCAGTAATTTTAATTTACGAAATTTAAACAGTATACCAAAGCCTAAAGTCTAAGTACTGTATAAGCTTAAACTTCTTAAATTTAATAATAATTACTGATAAAAGTGGGGGAGCAGTTACGATACTCTTTACGAGTAGCTGATATAAAATTGGTAAGAAGTTGCCACGTCTCTGTGTTATCATTAGTTCTAGTTTTCACACAAACAATTGAGTGACGCCATCGATTCATAGGCTGTACGTGCTCGATCTCATCGCACCTATAAACTCGTAAATCTATGTAGTGTGTCCCTCGTTTTGCATCGTCTACTTGACGAGAATATCCGCTTGCAAGCCTTCTCGTAATATATGAGTGAATAGGTTTATTACCCGGCTGTGTTATTGATGTTGGCGGCGAAACCTCGTCTTCACTTTCACTACCGAAAAGGTCGTTAGCTGTTGGCTTCTTCATAGCCACCGGGTTTATAATATGTTTCTTTTTTTTCTCCCCTGTTGGCTGCGCTAGGGCAGTAACTGCTCGAACTGGAGCAGGACTCGCTCTCGATGTACCCGCCACTGGTGAATGCTTCCGTTTCTTTTTTTGTATGGACTGCTGCTGCTGTTGTGGGAATTGATCATCGACGTCATCATCTAATGGGAACAGATAGTCCGCGTTTGATGGATTGAAAGACCTGTAATTAAATAAAATACTGTGAAACTATTAAAGTAATATTTTTATTATTATTATAGGTAATCCACCCTGCAAGTGATTCTTATTGGTCGGGTAAGGTAACCTAAACCTAACCTAAGTATAGTCAACAACACATGAGGTTATACATATCTGTCAAATTTCTCCATTTGACTTTTAACATAAATGTATCGAGTGTTCAAAATCAATTATGGAAAATTGACATATTGTGGTAACCTGATGTGCTGTTGAGTATAAACCTACCATTAAAATCAATGAAAATATATTCTGAACACACGATTCTTCGATTGAAAATGTAACCAGCTATTCAGTTATTTAGTACTGTTTCTGTTAGTTACCTAAGTATTTTTATTATTAGATATAATCCAAATCTAATTTGTATAGTAAATTGATATTATTTTTATTATTATTAGTTAGTTTATAATATGAAAACTGAATTATGTTTACACTCTTGTTTTAGTTTTAACTCAAGGAATAAATAGAACACAAATTAAATTTCACTAATCACTACTATTTCAGAGTTATCATTTCAATGTTTATTGAATGAAAATACGAGTGAATGAATACTTGCGTTATAATAATCACAAGATTCATATTTACCCTATTTCATTTTAAATAAATAAATAATTAAAAAAACTTACATTTTCAGAGCATTTACAATCTCGTTGATGTCGAACTCTACAGTCTGAGCTTTGCTTCATGAGAACACAATGATGCTGAAGCCTTCGGAGCTCCCTTAAATATTATGGATTCTACGTGATTGTTATCCATATAGGGATTGTGCTTGTTACATATTTTTGCCAATTCAGATGGGGGACACCAAATATAGGATATGGATGACATGCATCCATCACAAAAAATTTGAAATTCAACCTTAGACAATCACTAATAAAGACGATATGCGATACATTAGTTTAATATGTATTAAAGATAAACTCACATACTAGTTTCATAGCTAGACGCCCATCGCTAATATTATACTAATCCTAACATAACAACAGATCATAAAACAGACCAATGAACAAACAATATTACAAATTATTTTTATTATAATCATGGTACGAGTATACAATACAGAACAAGCGTCGATCCGTCTCATGGAGGAGACTGGAGAGCGCATCGGCTCATTCTTGGTACAAATACATGTCACCGATTTATGGTGCGGGGCGAGGTCACTTTCGGCTATGTCTATTGGCTACTTAAAAATCACCGGATACTCTAGGGATGCCAAGGTGGTAAAAATATCGATATCGATAAAAGAGGTTAATCAGTTCCAATTAATTAAACAAATCATTCTATTCATGATAAAATAGAAATAATCAACATACGCAAAACATGAATACTTAATATTTTTATTATTTGTTATTTAATAATACTTATTATTTCACTTATTATAGAGTAGATATAAAAAAAACAATAATTTAGTGGTAAAAATAATAATGCCTATAATTTTTGTATTGACTTTTTGAAACACATTACCTAAGGATCTACTTTTGGATCACACTAGTGTCCCGTTTCACAAAACTGTCAATTTAAAGTTAAATTAGACGAATATTGGTAGTTCTGTTGCACAAACTAGACTAAATTTAATTTAAATCCTGTCATTAACATTTCTCATATGGTTACATGAATAATCATTATAATTTATTATTCTTCTATATATATAAAAATCTATTGCTGTTCGTCTGTCTCGCTAAAAACTAGAGAACGTCTGGGTCGTTTAGCTGATTTTGGTTTTGAAATATTTATCGTAGTTCAGGGAGGGTTTAAACTGTGAAAGGTGATACGAATTACAATGGGTCACTAGGAAATCTGTATACACAATTTTATTTATTAGACTAATTACAAAATTTGTTTTTGACATACAAAATTAGATATACACTCAATTACACAAACGTACATTATACAGCCCGATAGAACTATAATTAGAAAAAAATACTGATTTTTAAAATGAATAAGTTTTGAGTATATTTTTCGTATATATTCTTTTGGATTTCCATTATTTTTAGTGATAAAAGTCAGTTTAGTGTCAATATACTTTTTTGCTACACATGAAGTTAAATCAATTAAGTGGTTTGTGGATTCTATGTCAAATTGGTGGAAGTTAATATCTGGAAATAAATCGTATCCCACAAAAGATTTAAGAACGACAATTACCAAATAGTCTGAACTATATTTGGATGCCAGACTTTTATCACCGCTTTCCGCCAATGCTCTTTTAAGATAAATTTCACTCCGACGACATATGTCTACAACTGTTTTTGAGGCATACAAAAGTTTATTTCTAACATCTTTTTGATATTGCAAACTGTCTTGTTTGGGCTCTCCGACTAATGCGCCAATGCATGTTTGGCATTTTATCTTTTTCATTAAAGAGTGAACTACGTATCCTGCGATATATTCCGTGCGGTGACGGAGAAAGAATACATAACTCACCGCCCCTTCCTTTCCTGTGGGTGTCGTAAGAGGCGACTAAAGGAATTCGAGCTCAGATCTGCTCGCAACTGGTGGTAGGGTTTAATCCCGCCTGGTTAGTTAAACCCGTGAAGTGCTCGCTCGTAGAGCGCGTTTCGGGATCAGCCAACGTACAACCAGAGCTCGGGACGACATTGCCGCGATTGTTTCGGTCCGGTGGGTGCCTCCGTCGAACCAGTGCCAGGAGGACTGCATCGATCCGCCAGCCAGGGAGACCCGTAGAAACGGCTGACCGCTGGCCGCCCGTGGTACAGTACAGGGGCCCAAGCGTGCCTAACCAGCTCGTGAGGCTGCCCTATCATGCCACGCATAATCTTGGGGTGGACCGTCGTGCCGGTTGGTGACCGGAGCGTGGGTCCCGGCGGCCACTCCCGGGGGGGTACGGGGGCCCTTCCGTCTGGCGGATCGGTGCTACTCCTCTGTGGGCAACACCTGGGGAAACAGGCGCCCATATTTTTGACTGGAGCAGTCGCGACAATGCCCTCCCGCTTCACGTCTCCTCACCCCTTATCCTTATGGCAGCCACAGCAACACGTTCCGGTCGTACAGCGGTGCACAACCCCACGCCTTCGCTGTTTGAGGTTGAGTTCTCTAATATACGGGGACTCCATGCCAACCTCAATGCTGTCCACCAACACCTAGAGACAGCACGGCCTGCAATGTTGTTTCTGACGGAGACGCAAATTCTCCGCCCGGCCGATACAAGCTACCTTCACTATCCCGGCTACGCACTTGAAGAGTCCTTCAAAGCGAAAGCCGGTGTATGCTTGTTTGTCCGGGCGGATGTTTGCTGTCACCGATTGCGCTGCCTAGAAGACCCTTCCTTTTCCCTCCTAGCGGTGCATATAGACTTAGGTCATCAGACTCGAGTCTATGTGTGCCTCTACAGATCCCACACTGGCGATGCGGAGACAACTCGACTTTATGACCACCTCAGTCGGGCGGCAGATTACGCGCAGGAGCAGTATCCTAACGCAGAACTGGTTTTCTTGGGGGACTTCAACGCTCACCACGAATCGTGGTTAAGTTCCTCCAAGACGGACCATGCGGGGAGATCAGCCCACGCATTCGCTCTCACGCATGACTTGACTCAAATGGTCGATCAGCCCACCAGGATCCCAGACATAGTCGGTCAAACGACCTTCTGCTTACGAGCCATCCCGTCGGTTATCAGGTTGATGTTCGTGCCCCACTGGGCAATTCCGACCACTGCTTGATATCCACCAAAGTGCCGCGAATCGAGCCCCCTCAACCTCCGAGGACTCGACGACGCGTATGGCACTATGGCTCAGCGGATTGGGACGGCATGCGCGAGTACCTTGCATCCGTTCCTTGGAAGCAGCGCTGCTTTAGTGAGAAGGATCCGACAACGAGCGCCGTTGCTATTACTGAGGAGATCGGTATTGCTATGGAATACTACATTCCGCACTCCGATCTGATCAGTATGGGCAAACACAACCGCTGGTTCAATCGCGATTGTGCTAACGCTGTTGCATCTAAACAGCTGGCATATCGAGCTTGGATCAGGGGTCGTGCTCGGAGGGATCCCGATATCGACTCAATAAAAGCAGCCTACAATCAGGCTTCCAAGTCCTGTAAGAAGGCTTACATCAGAGCGGATGCCCAGCGCGTCGCACGTATTGGCCATGAGCTAGTTACGCACCCTACGGGCTCCCGTAGCTACTGGCGCCTCGCCAAGGCCGTGCAAAACAATTTCTGCCAGCCCTCGCTGCCACCGCTTCGATGTCCAGATGGAACATTAGCTCACAAGCCGCAGGAGAAAGCCGACCTCTTGGCAAGCCTCTTCGCGGCTAATTCCCAAATCAATGACTGTAATGCACTGCCACCAACGTTACCTTCTAGTGGCTTCACTATACCTGATATTCATATCAGGCAGCGTGATGTGCGTGCGGAACTACAGTCACTCGATGTCCGGAAAGCTAGTGGTCCTGATGGCATACCTGCGGTTGTTCTAAAAATGTGTGCAGCGGAGTTGACTCCTGTACTTACGTGCCTATACCAGCTATCTCTTTCTTCGGGTCGTGTACCTGAAGCTTGGAGAGAGGCCATTGTGCAGCCAGTGCCCAAAAAGGGAGATCGGTCAGACCCTGCAAACTACCGCCCTATAGCTATCACCTCTGTGCTGTGTAAAGTCCTGGAAAGGATTATTAACTCCCAACTGATCCGATACCTAGAAGATCACTCCCTTGTAAATGATCGTCAGTATGGCTTTAGACCAAAACGATCAACTGGTGATCTTCTAGCGCACGTCATGCACCTCTGGGGTGAAGCTATCGACAAGCGCGGCGAGTCCTTGGCTGTCAGTCTTGACATTGCTAAGGCATTTGACAGGGTTTGGCACAAGGGACTTCTCTCCAAGCTTCCGGCCTACGGTCTGCCCGTTCAACTCTGCACCTGGATAGCCGACTTCCTGCGTGAGCGTAAAATCCGTGTTCTTTCTGACGGATGCTCTTCACAGCTTATGTCAGTCAACTCCGGTGTGCCTCAGGGCTCCGTTCTATCCCCTACACTTTTTCTGCTGCATATCAATGACATGCTTCCACTTGGAAATATCCATTGCTATGCAGACGATAGCACAGTGCATGTGGGATATCACGGGGCTCCTACAGTCGGACGGGCGGAAATCCTGGAGAAAAGGGAGAATCTTGTCATTGAGCTCAATCACGTTCTGGATCTCATATCGAAATGGGGTGCTGAAAATCTGGTTGAGTTCAATGCCAAGAAAACTCAGGTTTGCGTATTTACCGCCAAGACCCCTCCATTCCCTTCCCTTCCCTCTCTTCAGGGCACAACCTTGCCTCTACAGAGCAGCATCAACATGCTCGGGATGGAAGTGCGCTGTGATCTGAATCCGAAAAACCACATCGAGTCCGTTATTAAAACAGCATCTCGTAAACTCGGTGTCCTGAATAAGGTGCGGCGTTTTTTCACGCCCGAACAACTGTGCCTGCTATACAAAACGCAGGTCCGGTCATGCGTGGAGTATTGCTCGCACCTTTGGGATGGCTCCGCTAGGTACTTACTCGATGCTTTGGATAGATTGCAGCGCCGCGCAGTACGCATTATTGGCAATGGTGAAGTCACCAAGAACCTAGAAAGCCTGCAACTGCGCCGAGACGTTGCTTCGCTCAGCGTCTTCTACCGTCTCTACCATGGAGAATGCTCTGAAGAACTCTTTTCGCTTATCCCTCCATCTCCCTTCCTCCTCAGGACCACACGTGCTGGTTTGCGTTGCCACCAACTAACTGTGGCAGCGATTCCTTCGCGTACAAAGAAATTTGGCGACTCATTTCTTTGTCGTACTACCAAAAAATGGAATTGTCTCCCGGCCCATGTATTCCCTCCTTCCTATGACATGGGGTCCTTCAAGCGGGGCGTGAAGAAGCACCTTGCAGGTCGGCAAGGTGAGGTTGGCTAGTGCAGTACCTACGTACTGTTTTCACTAGCTGTCCTCATGTTTGGACTACGCCTCCGCTTACCATCAGGTGGAGCGCAGTCATTTGCCCTCCTATACATAAAAAAAAAATAACCTTTGTGCTGAATTCCGACAAACAGATTTTTTCTTGTAATTCAGGATCGAAATCGTCATTTGTTTCCGACATATTGTCCTGATCCTTTCGGGGTGTAGTTATATTAATGCGTTTTAATGCGGAAGTACATTGCAAAATCGAAATTTGGTTAAGAGCTGAACAATTACCGGTGCCTGAATTTTTTATTTGAGCATAAGTCAGTAGTTTTTTATAGATGCTCTCGAATATTCTGGCGGTCGGGTTGTTGTTCGATCCGCCGTGGCATCTAATATTTCCAAAGAAATGCTCAAGGTGGTCTTGACTGATTTTGTGAAATGGCAAATACTTGATCGGGCATTCTTTACTTATAACTAACTGCTGGATCAAATATTTAGCGCTTTCTATGCAAATACAAAATCCTAAAAATCCAGTGCGCCGAGGTGAATCTATAAGTTTGACAGTTTGTTTAGTATTTGCTTTGACTAATTCAGTAGTTAGATTGAGAATGTCTTGTTTAACTGAATCTAATAGATTTATTGTGCAAGCAACAGTTTCCTCATTAATCGCTCTTTTCAGGTCATAGCCACGAATATGTGAATCCAAAATATCAAAAAGATTATTGATCGTTTTTAGAAAATCGATTGTACCTGTTACATCTTGAAATTTTGGCAAGAAAAGTTGATTTTTGCAAAATTCAAGAGCATCTGCGACACTTTTGCTAAAAACTTGAGTTGCTAAACTAACCTTCATTATTTTGCATTTAAAATAAATATGCATCGCTCTTAGACGGTTCGCTAAATGAAAATTTTCTTCTGTCTGCAAATTATGTAAATCAACTAAATGTTGCCAAGATATGATATGACCATCTTTATTTGAAAATTTTCCATAAAATTCAAAAGCGTTTCTAACAAGTTTTACCATATGCGCTGGATCTAAAAAAATTGCTACTTGATTATTATTGCACGGATTTGGGAAGGTAGTCATTAAATTATCAGGGTCTAAATTGCAGCCTAATGATTTAGCCATAGATAAATTAGCAGGACAACCGTCAAAGGTAACTGCAACTACGTGAATACCAACTTCTTCAATCAAGTGTATGGCTTGAGTAAGAAGTGACGCCTTTTGATTGCTACTGATGCCATTGGTCAAGAAATATCCAATAGGTATTTTAAACGAAGCATTAAGCGGGACTAAAAGGAAAACAAGCGCTTCTTTAGCTTCAAGTTGGCAGTCTGATGCTAAATCAGTTCCATAATTGACATGGCCGTAAAATCTTTTTCCATGTGGATGATACTCAATACCACTTTTTATTGACATTTCATCGAATATTATTGTAGCGTAAATTTGTTTCCCTTGTTTAGCTACATCTTTAAGAGTATTTAAAGCCTCTTTAGTAAATCCAGGTTGGCCGTCGACAGACTGGTACCATTTTCGAAGAGTACTAGAGCAAGGTAAACATGTACTAAATGTTCTCCTAACAAAATCATAAGCTTTGGGGGAGTAAAAGTGTAATGTAATAGCAAATGCTCGGAGTTCTGACGAGTATTTTGTTTTGGGTATGTGTCCTGTTAAATTCTTTTGCTGCTGCCTCATTATCAATTCCTGGTTTTCTATTCCAATACCTTTCAAAATTTCTTCGTTTTCTTTGTTTAATAATGAATTTCTGGTTAGAGTATTTAAAATGTCTTGTAAGCTTGCGTCTTTCTTTTTTAGTAGCCTTGCTTTATCTTGTAGTCTTTTTACATCCTTTTTCTTTTTATTTAAACTTAATATGAGATGATCTATTTGGCGTTTCATTTTACGTTTTCGGGGTGTCAAATCAACATACTGTTCTTCGATGTTTTCATTGTTTTCTTTACTTTGTTTCTGAAATAGGAATTAGAATATTATGCATTACCTTGCTGCAGTAAAACAAATTAAAGCAATAAATATTGATTTTTAAAACGATTTCAAACACTTTATAAAAGTGAAAAACAATTCAAAGAACTTGTTGGTGCTGTTTTTCGAATTCAATGATGGTATCTATAAAAACATATCTTAAAAATACTATTTTTATTAATGAAGTCTATGTAAAAAGACCACAATGCTTACCAGAAAAGGTAAGTACAGTGTGGGTAAAGATGAGCTGTATAATCGGCGTATATTTTTGAAATTTTCGAAACAGTCTGAAGTAAAATGTCTAGAACATATAACACTGTGTTTTTTTGGGAAAAAATTATCTCTATGAGTAGCGTCGATCCATTTTCCTTTAGTCTCATTGTCAGTGGGAAATCTACAAAAAAATTGAATATGAGTTAATGTACCTAATATTAGCTGAGTAATAAAGTGTTTCTTTATCGGGCTAATACTTCTATCATCAAAGGTACATCATTTAAGTCTTTTAGGAGTGCAAAAAAGACAAACAATTTCGTATCAGGCATAACGACAAAAACAGTATCGGATAGATTTCACATTTATTCCCTTAATCTGGCCCTGTCGGTTCATGAGTAATGGTACCTCATGCAAACACATAATATTTAAACTAACAACTTTCTACCTTATGGCATTATATTTAAATTAAGACAGTTATATAAATCGTGTATCTGGACTTTATCGATATATTTTTTACGATGTGATTGTACAGCGCTATCAAGAAAAAAAGAGACAACTGCTAATGAGAAATCAATGCACCAGAAAGAGATGGCATGAAAGACATAAACGCGTGCATTTCAGAAATAATAATTTAGGATAATTTTTTTGGTTTCATTTTAATTTTCAAAATAAAGATGGAAAATCACTTACCTATGAAATGATATCCCATCTTCCGTATAACTCGAAGTCGTAGTACTCTTTCCACACCATTTAATTGCGCAACTAGGCATTTTTTCCGATGATTTTTAATTTTAAAACGGGAGCGCGTAACGAATTAACCTATTCATTAATATGACTTCGACTGACGAAATAATTCGTCGGTACACTTGATATAGCGTAGTATTTTCGAGGCGCTTTCCCCCGCATGCTCACTCCAGTCTCCTCCATGATCCGTCTTGAGTTCCTATTTCACCTTCCCATATTTGTAAGACAATTTTTTTTATTGTAAATAAATGCAATTTGAACTCTATTGCAACCTTTGAAAATGAATATAAATTGGGAAAAAGAAAATTTTACTTCAATATTCCCGAGGTGGTTACACCACCAGCCCTTTTACATCCCCACTGCAGGGGCTCAGGCCTTCCTTATAGATGGTTAAGGAGGAGGATGGGCCATGACCCTCCACGCTGGCCCAATGCGGATTGGAGGGTATTGACGACTGCAAATGCAGCCGGGACCAACGGCTTAACGTGCCTTCCGAAGCACGGAGTAGCTCGAGATAATAATTTTTTGGTCACCCATCCCGTGACCGACCGTTGCGAAAGTTGCTTAACGACTACGATCGCGGACCGCGGCGCTTATCCACTACACTACGGTTAATAAAAGCATAATTGAAGTTCCATAATGTCGGTAAGTACATTTTTAAACGAGTTCCGCTGTTTGAATATAAAGCGATTGAAATGTTATATAAATTAAATTTTATATTTGTTATTATTCAAACAGGAATCATATTTTATGTTTTATATTTTAACTATTAAAAAGATCAAACTATTTAGAATATATTCAAACACATTGTTTTGGATTCGATTTCCTGATATAAATGAAGCTATTTAATATATTTTTAAATCGTTACTTTTATTTTGTTTCTTTTATTATATGAGAGTATTTATATCGGATATATTTTTTTTTTAGGATTCTGGGGACATCTTTCCATTTCAACCTATTCAAACAAGAAACCAATCTATTCTTGCACAACGCGTGAGCAACTACATGCAACAACATGAAAATGGTGTTACTGAAGGCAGTAGTAACTCAAAGAAAAAAAAGGAAAATGAAATATATTATTCTTATATAAAAATACCAAAACAGGGAAGCAAAATTGTGAGATTGGAGATTTATGATATAGATAAATTTGACAATTCGCGTAACGAATTAATCTGTAAATGTGATGCTAATATTTGCATGCAGTATGTAGTGGATACTGACCAACTATTATTTGATGACATTTATAATTCAGCTAAAAATTGAATGGCAAAAATCCATAAAAATATGGAGAAAATGTAACTTATTCTGTTATATTAATAAAACCAGTTTAAATAATAAAAAAGTTTGTTTTTATTGTTTGTTATGTATTTCACTTACCATAAATATTACAGATCATGTCATGAGAACTTTGAGAAAACTTTTATAAAAAAAGTGCTTTATTTACCATGAACTGACGTATAGATATCAAACGTAAACAGATTCTTAAACGGTAGGCATGGATAATTATTTAGTAGGTACCTGTAACACAAGACTCGAACCCAATCATCAATCTCATTGTCACTTTAGGTAGGTATAAATAGGTATGAAATGAAACAACATTCTTTTATTGAAAAAGAATGTTGTTTACATGATACAATGCTCACTTGTTACGAATCATGATAACATGCAGTGTTTGAAATTATATACTTACATATAACACCTATACCATTTAGTTACCTACATACAGACATCGAATACTGTGGTTAACACCGTGAATAAAACAAGTGACACCGTTATATTATAAGTATAATATTAAATCTATTAACCCAACTGTGCTGTACTGTACAACGTTTACAAGAGTAAATAATATAGATACCTACTACTACTGATAATAATGAATAATATAATATTATATGTTTTATAAAATTATAACTTCGCTCAATAGATAAACGAATAAATAAAATGAATAAATTAAAAGTTAGAATTGTGGGGGGTCTGGATCTTATCTGAGCCAGAACCCCCAATTCCAACCTACTTATATATAAAGATATTTAAAAAAAAAACAGGTACGATTATCGTAGTTAAAGATAATAATTCTCATCCTCTCTGTTGGCCTTTAGTAGTAGTAGTGTAGTAGTGTAGTTGATGCGATTTATCCTGGAAAGGACAATATAAAAAAAGAAGATCCCTCTCTGTCATGGTGTCAACGCGAAAATACGCTCCTCTCGAAAAATAAACCACTGTGTTAATATCTCACTAAAAATAAACTGTGCTCAAAATAGTGTTGACTGTGTGAACTATTTTTTTTTATATAATAATAAGAATTCAAGAAAAAGGAGTACGACCGTAACCTATGGAAAGTAGCTATGTAAGTCCACTAATTTTCATAATGTCAATCATTGGAAATTCTCCAGTATGTGTCAAACAATATTTAATCAGATTCCGGAAACTATAAAGAAAACACCTTTTTCTAGATTTAAGAAAAAGTTATATAACTGGCATGCCGAGCGTACCTTTTATTCTGTGCATGAATTCTTTGATAATGGAAACTGAACGTTGGCTTAGGGTGGATTGATCAGTGCTTTTTTTATTAAATTATCAACAAACTTTATGGTAACATAAGTTGGTTTACTTGCATCATGTAAACCTCTAAGGTTCGTAACACATGCAAGAATTTATATAAATTACATTACAAAAACTTAAACAACTATATGACATTACATAACACAGATTAATATTTGTTTTAATATATTAATTACAATTATTTTAATTACTTCAATCACATATACAAATTAAGTAGATTCAAATTTATTACATTTTTTGATAACTCAGCAAACGCTTGATTATGGTACAATTCTAAGAAATAAAATATTTTTTTAATTCGTATTTAATATTTTTTTCTACAAGTTTATCTCTAAGATCGCACGGTAGTTTATTTATCAAACGAGGTAGAATAAAATATACTTGTATTGACTTCTTGTACTACATTTGCATGCTATTTTTAATGGCTGAATTGGTATTACATTTTTACATCTCTATTGTATACCCTATTCAAACGCAAATAAATTATTATTATTAAGTAAAAAAGTAAGCAATTATTAACAGCTAACCACAGTGTGTTAATCTAATAAAGATATAACAAATTACCTACTAGTGATAATTACCCTTTTATGAAATATCACAAATCACATAACAAATAATTTCTCGAGACATTTATCTGGCTAGATTTTAGATAAAAGCAGTATAGATATAAGCATGATAGTAGGGTAATATTGGGCATTCTGTCATTCCATGAGTGAGTGGCGGCAAAACGCTGACACGAACGAGTGGGGGACAGAATGCCCAATATTACCCTATTCACGATTCAAGTGTAATCAATGCTAGACATGCGTCGTTATTTGCTGCTTTTGATGCGAGGCAGATATAATAAGTCGTTAGAAAAGCTGCAGATTTGACAAATACTTCTAAACATTCAATATTAATAGATTCAGTATAAGAATTTATTTGAGAATTCATGCTATTCATGCTTTTTAATTCAAATTTTATTGAATGGATAATCGACTAACCTGGTGACCATGACAGCGAAATTAATCACATTTTTTCACTACACTGACTGAAACGTAAAAATTCATTAGATTCCTTTAATATGCCTAACGCAATGAACATACAGCGGTAACTAAACATTTAGCGGTAGGACTACGGTATACTTTTATTACTTTATGGATGAGCAGCTTGCCTCAGTTAATACCCAGAAATTTTAGTAGTAAAATTATATACTCCATCCAGTTCAGTGCCGATTGCCGATTGCCTCGGAGTTGCCACTAGAGTATCATAATTTTAGTAGTAAAATTAAAATCAGAAATTATATACTCTATCCAGTTTGGCTCGTGGTCTCTCTGAATAAAAATTCAGTGCTGATTACCTCGGAGTTGCCACAAGAGTATCATAATTTTAGTAGTAAAATCAAAATCAGAAATTATATACTCCATCCAGTTTGGCTCGTGGTCTCCCTGAATAAAAATTCAGTGCCGATTGCCTCGGAGTTGCCACTAGAGTATCATAATTTTTCTAGTTCTATGAAGTTCCAATCCGATTGGCTCATGGTCTTCCTGAATAAAAATTCAGTGCAGTTTGCTTCGGAGTTACCATCTCGACTTCTGGATTTTTTCTGTACCCGATTGGCTCGTGTCTATTCAACCAATATAGTTAAAAAGTAATACCAACAACCGCTAACTGGTTAGGTAACATCTAAATGATAATTGGAATCAAATAAATTATTTTGTTTCTCACTGTTTAAATACACACACTTTACACTTGCTTATCGGAACACTGACTGACTGAATGTACGAACGGTTTGATTGTTCAAGTTATAAGCGGAAGCGTTTTAAGAATTGGTTTGAACTGATCGCTATTATATTGCGTTTTTGCCTTGAAATAAAACCAATGTATGAAATTTGAAATAAGTTAGTACTCATCACAAAATAAAATAGTTTAATGTTTAAATTAATAGCCAACCTAATAAATTAAACTCACAAAAAGTTTTTAGATACTAATAGAATAACTAAGTGAGATGACTAAACATACATATTTGTGATATAAGTATTTATAATCTATCATTAACGAACTTAATATTTTACACGTTTTTACTTTCATTTTATAATAACACTATACTTTCTATTTAGAAAGTCTATTGTTTGATCCTATTAATTTATGCGAAAGTATCCCGTTTAATCTTGTTTTCTTTGACTTAGACCACATTATATGCAACACTGCAAGTTATAAGAGCTGTATGATAAATAAAATCGACGATCTGATCTAAAATATATTTAAAATAGAAAATAATTCTTAACAATAATACTTATCACCGCCAACTAGCGAAAAATCCTGGAGTGCGCCATCATGCCGGTTGGCGACCGGATGTAGGCCTGATGGACAACTCCGGGGGGGCTCGGGCGTCCCCGCAGTCTCAAGACCAGTTCCCCATCGATGTTGCTGTTTGATGCGGGCCAACAGGGCGAGAGTGTGGAGCAAGTGTTTCACTACTAGCCTCACACCGAATCACTCCTTATCATGAAAATTGGAAAGAGGAAAAAGGCTCAACAGCGGATGTACTCCCTTACACTTAAAGTGCACCTCACTAATATAAGAGGTCTGCACTCAAATATCGTGCCGGTCTATCACCATCTGGAGACGGTAAAGCCTACACTCTTATTTCTTATGGATACGCAAATAAAAAA